AGATGGCTTGAAATAATAATACCCATATGTGTTGTATGGGCAATTTAAAAATAAACCCACGCGGGCCGCGGGAGAGTCTGATTCACGTTATATTTGGAAGACGCTTCCTTTCTATGTACATCAATTAAGTGTTGTCTTATACAGGATGAAATCTTAGCATTTTTTATAAACGGAGTATTCTATTAGATTATGAAACTGGATATGTCATTCGAAGAAGCAAAGGAAAACAACGTTGAAAAATGAAAAAATATCTGCTTAACTTAAAAACTGGATGCACTTTATTATAAAAAAAAAAACAGTTTCACTGAGAGAACATTACCTTAAAAGAGTGTTGTTCAACATTCTCAGTAAAAATGTCAGGGGTCACACGCACTATTCTACAGCGCATTGACTATAAGTTGAAATTCGTTTTCATATTTTGACCCGCATTTATTAAAAGTTATTGTAATTATGGACTTTATTTTACAAGAGATTAAATCGAATATAGCCCTGCAAGACCCATCAGGAGGTTTGTCTATTTTTTTAGCTGTTATATATACTACTAGCGGCCCGGTACGTACTTCGCTACGTATAAAGTGAAATATCTTAAAAAAAAGTTTGAATTTGACACAAAAATCCCTATTAACAAAATAATCCGCCATTTATTGAATTCATTTGTTACAAAAAATGTGATAAATGAAGAACCGCTCGACCGATTTTGTGCAAACTTCACATAAATCATCTACTAAATAGTCCGAACAAAGCTTAAACATTTGGTTTGGATAGGTGAGCCCGTTCTTGAGTTATAAAATTACAACGAAAAGTGGCATTAATTTTTATATATATAGATATAAATCTATATATATATAATCCTTACCAATATTATAAATGTGTTACCTACCACTGAATGTCTTAACGATGGATGGATGGAGGACATATGTTACTTTTTATTCCGGTCAATGAGCATATCCCGATCACGCGAAGTCACGGGTAAAAGCTAGTACCTTATATGTATATTTCTGTACTTTGTTAAGTAACCAGCCACTTAGACATATAAGTAAGAAAACATTAACATTTGATCCTATTACTATAAGGAACTTGTTTTATCAATACAGAGCAGATGTTTCAAACAATTATAAACTTTATCCAATGACAATAGAGGCGTGTAGGCTTAATTGAGAAGGCGCCGTTGAAAATACCATGCTTGCTACAGGAAACTGGTAGCAGGCATCTGTTAAACTCAATTGGTTGAACGATAATATTTATGGATCTGACAATTGTAATGCAATTAAGATAGATAAAACTGTTGCTAAGTAGTCCATACAGTAGTATGTGTAATTTAAGGATTTAATATATAATATACACATAGCGAAGGCGCACGTGACAAGGCCTGGTGTTGCAAACGTTCATAGATGAGCAGCGGGTCTACCATGAAATGAATTTCCGAAATTTCGGACTCAATTTCGTGTTTTTGTTTATACCAAAATCGGACCAATAAATTGAGTTTAACATTTCGTTTATCATACATCCTATCATAAAAGTCCAAAAGAACAACATTTTAACATTTTTAATATTTCCAAACGGCATATTTTCTTTCTTTCTTTCTTTCTAAAGGTTGTTGGTACTTAGTGAAAATTGAAATTTATATTTCGAATTGTCTTTACAGAGCAAACTCCTGAATAGTAAAAGGATATATTTTCTGGCTCATCTCCAATGCACCCTCCTCCCTTCATCTCAGCTACTGAGCCTCATCAATCGAATATTTTGTCGCGTAAACCTAAAAAGAATAGTTACAGTGGTCGCCGAGTCCATATCTTGCATCCCTTCTGACATAACGCTCATGGTTACAGAGATAGCTTTCAGAAATCTCCATCTCCAGTACCACTCATTAATATAACGACCACTCATTACTATAACGACATCATTTACTTCACTACTAATTGACCACTAATAACCTATCATTTATTTGGTTTATTAAACAAACGTCTTATCTATCCATCTAAAGGAAATATTTTTGTTTGGAATCGACACATGCCATTAGTGTCCTGTTTAAGCTCTATCATTAAATATCCATGTGCTTCCATTCTGGTGAAATTTGACGTTTGTGGGAATTTGTGTTTTATCACGAGGATTTTAAAAATAAATAATATAACTGGAGTTCAAAGATATGTCTTTTTTTGGCCTTTGCCTTTATGAAACACATTTTGTTTATTGTAAAATACACTTAAATTTCTGTAATGGCTACCCTTGGTAAATATGTCTACTATTCTACCATCAGATTTATAAGATCATAAATAATCACCACGTTTAACTCCTTTCCATCAAACATATTTAAATCTGGTATTCCCCCTAAGGAAGCACATGGATATTTAATGATAGATTTCAAACAAGACACTAATGATATGTGTCGATTTAAAACAAACATATATCCTTTAAATGGATAATAGGTGATTAGTAATGAATACAATTAGTAATGAAGTAAATAATGTTGTTATAGTAATGAGTGGTCGTTATATTAATGAGTGGTACTAGAATTTAAAATTTCTAAAAACTATCTCTGTACCCATGAGAAGTACGTCAGAATGGATACGAAATATTAACTCAGCGACCAGCAAAACTTTTTTTTAAGTTTGCGCAACAAAATATTCGACTGATCAGGCTCAGTCGCTGGGGTGCGAGGGGACATTGGAGCTAAGCCAGAAAAAATGTCCTCCTATTACTCTCCTGTTTGTTCTAAACTAAAATCTACTCATAGACAAACAATACCGCGTTCTAAATTTAAATATTTTAAAAATGTACTCACGAAACGTCTTGAAATTATTAGTCAATACGAATTTTAACACAATTAAATTAGCTGTCTTTTTGGGGAAGCAAAATGTATGTGTACTTGTGCAAGACAGCAATCAATGTTTATAATTAATTAATATGAAATAGACCGTCTTCAACGTGAAGGTGACTCAATATACTGAAATTAGGTACTATTGTTATCACCAGCTATTGTGTAGAAGTTAATTTATTCCACATAATACATTTTTATTGGTTTTGTCTATTGTTCATAGACTGTAACAAATTGAACTATGTATAAGTTGAACTATAAAAATCAATTACGAATTGAAGTATATCTGTTATCTCAGTAAGATATTTATTAATTATTTTTATTTATTAAATAAATATTTAATAAATATTATTAGGTAATAAGATTACGAATCTATATTTCGTCTACAATAATCATATTATTAAACGATTAGAGAATAAATAAGCGTAGGTGGAGTATTTGTTATTTTTCCATATTTAATTACAATAACGAAAAATCTGCACGAGACTTCTGACTTTGACCAGTTATTATCATTAACATATCAAATAGTTTACTTTTTATACTGGAAAATAAAAATAATATATAGGTAGATTTCAAGTGAATTTGCGAACGCATACCAAAGTATTTTAGAAAAAAGCTATACGTATTAAATTCTACATAAATAACACTCACACACATTCATGCATACATATGTACACACGTAATATATCTATATTACGTGTGTGTGCGTACTAGTACCCTAAATTTGCAACGTAACCTTGATACGGCGAAATTAGTTGAGGGTTACGCGCTCAAACGCACTCGGCATTCGACACAACTCATACGAATATAAGTATGAAACGAACAATTTAAAAACAAACTCGTTCTTCAAGACCGAGGATACATCGAATGACCTTTCTTGAATGTTTGCATTATGCAGCTTCCTGTTCGTTATCTAATCCGAAATTTACATACACATACCAACCACACGAATATTTTTTAAATATTTATCATATAGAAAATTAATAATTCTTTTTTTTTTTCTTGAACACATAGACACTTATTTCAAAAAAGCTGTAGATGTCATTTTTATTTAAAGTTAAAAAAGTCCTTGAGCGTCTGACAAGCATTAATAGGGAGGGTCAGTGATTTTATTTAACGCAATGTCAACTAGGTCGATCGTATATCTTTAAGTTGATTAAATTTTTACAAGACTGCCCAAAAAAGTGCAATGTTTTCAGAGTTGATGTATGTATATATTTATGTAAATTTCTTTATTCCATGGTAACATCTAAATGCCTTAACAGATATAAATGTATGTGGTATCGTTAAAATCTTACATCGTCCGGGGTAATGTCGTATTTTTTTTTATTATTTTGTTACTTTAGTAAAAGACTTTCTCTTTGACAAATTCTTAAAAGAGACATTACCCAAACAATGAGTTTAACACTTTCTATCACATTACATCTATGAAAGCTTCACTAACGGTGGCCTAACCTAGTAGCATTCAAAGACTTTTGTGTACATATTTTCTATGGTTCATCTCACATAAACCATGTAGATTAGATAAGCGTCTTTGGACTTCATATAAGGAACCCATTATAGAGTGACATTGTTGGAGGAAAGACAACAAACTGGTTCTAAAACGTTTTGTAACCATAGCCTCAATTTCTATAAATAATAATTAGTAATATACATTTTCTCACGATATCTCAGTATCTAGTTTTAAATCACAGTGTGACTAATTTATTTTCTACCAGTATTTTGTTTTATTTATCTATTGCAATACTAAAATATTAAAATAATGTAAGTAGGTACGAAAAAAATAGAAACATTTTGCATTACATGACAAAGACACGATCATGTGCCTCTGAATATATGATGACCAATTCATGACTCATGAAGAACTCTTGCTTCTGCTTCTATTTACCGAATCGAGTTAACATTCTTGTAGCTTATTAGAACTGCAATCAGTCACTAAAAGAATGGAAACTTATGCCAGTTTCCATTTTTTTAGTGGCTATGTAACTATGTAGTAAGTCATTAAATTCCTTAGAGCAAGTTCAGAGAGAACAGAGAGTTGGGCGTTTCAAATTACCATTTTAAATGACTTATTGCTAAATCAATGCTGCATTATACTGTACGCAAACAAAAACATTTTGTATGTCAATTGCGCCATATTGGATAAGTCAATAGAAACTAGAACAATGTTATGTGTGGAAAATACCTGATATATTTCCTTTTGTTGTCCTTTAGGCGGATCCGTGTTTTCCTCGGAAGAGTAATCTGATGTTTTAACTTGTTTCTCTATCCGCGTAGAATGCCGCGTGCGGTGCGCAGGCGGCGAATCCTCGTCATCATCGATCTCGATGATGGGCTCCGGTATCGTCTTGTTTGTGGTGGGATGTAATTGTCTGAAAGATAAATACAAAATATAATACTTTTTCTTTTATTATAAGGACGGCATAGGAAGACACGATGGAAGTGGAAGTAGGCTTCCTACACCAGAGGCATTAACTTGCTGTGACGAGAGATGGCAACCTACGAGTAATGTCTTAATGAACTTAACAAAAACTTTCTTGGATCGTGGACCTAGTGATAAGACTGATTATCATCCTTATAATATTAAAAATACGAACGTTCATATTATTATTCAATTTATTATACTTTTGGACCTATATTACTGAACCGATTTACATACAAATTAACGCAAAATTAATTTGAACTTTGAGGCGTTATACTATTAGGTATTAGATAATACAAGATGAAAGTCACGCGTATCGTCTGTTAAAAAACAAATCGAAATTTAACAAAAAATATTAAAGAATTAAATTTAATTACAAAAGAGGACCTCGACGAACGTAACAGCATTTTTGGCGTTAAAAGAGTGCGTTTCCCGTCAAAGCGGTGAAACAACAGACGTCAATGCATAATGTATATTCGCTTCAGTCTAAGTTCTTCGTGATAAGGTCACTGGATTCATTTACTTTATCAAAGTCATTGAGGAGTTTCCTTCGCATGTATTATACTACTTATTTTAAAAAATAACGATATATGTCTACAGAACACATTATAGTTATATATTAATATGTCAGTTCAGCTTCTTTTTTATAAAGATAAATCCTGTATACCTAAGAACACTGAGTATATATATGTATATGTATATATGTGTATATAAAGTCTATTTATTAATTCATATATAATTATTTACAGATAGAATTTTATAATCGTTGATAACAAATCTTTCTATAGCTAAAAGAATTTATAAAAAAAAAAGATTTAATAGTTTTTGAGTTTAATTCCATTATAAACATATAATTAAATGATTCCACTTTATAAGTATATATTACAAGAATATTTAGGATATTATATCCGTGCTTATTTATTAGTGTATCACTTAAAAACTACTCCTATATACTAATCGCAAAGGGTGTCTAAATCTAATTGTATAAAGGTTACTTAATTTTTTTTCCCGTGAATGTCGTAAATTACTACCTATTTAAACTCCGATTTAAAGTATTAAAATTCCTCGCGTACAAAATCGTGGATAATGGACGTTTTATAATTTTTTCGTCATAAAATTAATGAGAGAGTAAAATATACGCAATTGTTATGGAAACGCAATTAAAAGTGCGTGCGTGTTCACATTATCGTTGCGGTAAATAAAAACCTATTATAACTATTATAGTGGTGATAAATTGTAAAACGCCCAATTATCTTCTAAATTTCTCTCAATGGAAAAAGGAACAGATATAAATTGAACAAGAATGATTATGTTATTGTAATGTGTGGGCTTGCGTTGACCGTATTGTTTAGTCAAGGCAAGGAGATTAGTGTGCTTATTAGGCTTGTCCTACGTCCATCAGCTAAGATCAATAATGATTAATGACAAAAACATTAGACCACTCTGTTTATTTGTGTATTCTGTGACGTCCTTAACGTTAGCTGTGACAATTATCTACTACTTTCCATTAGATTGGCCATCAGCTTGTTTGTCATTCTAAGTTGTATAAGAAAAAATATTTGCACATAGCAATATATTAGTCTTATGTTTCTCTACATAAATTGTTTAATAATTATAATAAAATTATATCAAAATATAATTTTATATCAAATTAGTTTCTAGTACTAATGAAATATTGCAGATGAATTGAAAGTTACTTAAGTAAATCCATAAAATATCAATTTAGTAATAATAGAAATATTGGCTTACATACTGTATTTGAACAAATTTATTGTACGAGGACCTCAATCAATAGATGGTTTGAAAAAATGCTGTATGAAACTAATTACCATGAAAGGTTTGTATACACACAACAACTTCTTAAAAACGATCAAGATACTAACATTGCCTTGTCCATTAATTATTTACCAATAAGATGCAAATATGTCATTACAACATAGCTAAGTAGCTACAGTATTAGGGCCATAACTGACCTCACAATGGTTGAATCAGTGACATCATACAGTAAACATCACTTGTCCTTGCTCAATACTCCATACATTGACCTTGTAACATTTCAACATTTACCACATTCAAGGAAATTTTATCAGTGTAACTACTTTTAGATTGGATGATTAATACCAATCTAGTTCTTGTAATATTTCATTCAATAATAATAAACCAATGGACTCATTACAAAGCTCCATCTAGTTTCAAACTAAGAAGAGCTTACACCATAGATACTAGTTATCTAGTATTTAAATTAACAGACTTTTTTATTTTATATTAGCAACATCTGTATTTTTAAAATACATAACTTTCGTTAATAATTTCTATTTACATTAAATAATACAGATGAATCACATTTATTCTCTCTGAACATTACAACTGATTTAATTTACAAATTTACTAAAATGCTATTTATATGTTAATATTTTAATTTTTATGATCTAATACTGCTTAATAGTTTGTATTCATAGAAATTTAAAAATTTTAAATTCAAATATCAATCATTAACTGCCCACTATTGAGCATTGCCCTCTTACATAGACTGCCATAAGGAAGAGCTGGTAGAGCCATCTGCATCTACCAATTCCCTGTAATATATTTGTCACTCATTTACATCTACTTGAATAAAAATATTAATTAGGGTAATTTTACTATACTCATTAGGAAAGAAGGCACATATGTACATATTTAATATATCAGTGCATTATTTTATTAACTTACTTTTAAAAGTGTAATATGTTAAATACTTTAGTCGAGGCTGATCTGATGAATAACTACTGATTTATATTAGATTTTTAATAACAATAAAATATATATAAAATATGAATAGTTGGCCTATATTTATATCATACAGACAGGTAATATAATATAACCAAGTACTGTTGTTTTGTTTTGTTGTTGAAATTAAATGTGTATAATAAATTTTGCATTTGTTAACAGGCATATTTTACTAAACAAATTAAACACCAATAATGATAAAATCAATATTGTTTCGTCTTAAAAAATATATGCACCCATTAGCAACAAGATGTTACATAAACACGTTGGATTATATTTAAATTTAAACAGCAGAAGTGTGTCTACTACTTAATTTTTTTATGCATCAAGTATGATTATGCTTAGTGAAGGTAAAACATGAAATTGCTGCTTTTGGAGATCCAAAAAAGGATTTAATATAAAAGCTAATATTAAATATTCAGGTCACTACAACATAATAAAAAGATAAACTTACATGTTATTAATTTAATTACAGCACTAAATGGGCTTCTATAACTTTATTTCAATATTTTAGTTTTTTGATACACACATAATCACCAACATGTAACAAACTCTAATCACGCCTTGAGATGTAAAAAGTTTACCTTCTGATAACACTGTAGATAATGTAGTACAACTCTAATCTCATTATCTATAAATTAGGTATGTACCTTCATAAATCCTTTAAACCCATTTAGGGTGTCTTGACCTCAATTATGGCAAGAAAAATTATAAACAAAGTACATACACTAGTAACATTTAGTGTAATCTATTATATAAATAATAAATACTACAGAACATAGAATGATTAATAAAAAAAAATGTTTTAGTGTGTTTTAAAATAGCTAAAACAAATAGATTTTTTAATTTAATAAATATCATTTATTTTGAACTTATATAAATGTACTTATGACTTTATACTTTTCTATATTTCCAGGTTGTAAAAGTAAAAATGGTAACTATAATTTACAGATATGAACACCATAATAAATATCACAGAATATCTTTACACACTTTAATTTTACTGCCATATTCCACCCTTCAAGCTAAAACAAGCATTTAAGCATAGCAGCTTTGCAGAAAACACTAGTGCTATAAAAAAAAGAAACTAAGTGTAATATGTGTTGTATATGTGTGTGTGTGTGTGTGTGTAATATGTGTTGTATATGTGTGTGTGTGTGTAATGTGTGTAAGTTTTTTTTGGAGGAAACAATAAAGAGTATGTATCTATGTATTGAGTGAGACATTTACAGTTGATTAAAATTTTTCACTTAGTATTTTTTTCATTTTTTTAAATAAATATAATTAAATCCCTGTACTGGCTTGCTTGCGATCAGGGGTTATCATAAGTATGTATTAACATTTATTTTTATTGAATTAAGCCTGGTTTTACATATTATAAATAAATAAATTAAATAATAACCTCTTCATATGGAAAGATTTTTTATAAGATGAAAATGGAATGATAATCCTACCCTTTCTATTGGGTGTGGTTCTACTAAAGCAGCAAATGATGATAGGTGGGAATGAAGTCTAGTCAGTTGGGCTATTTTGATAAATTTAACAGAAATAAGTGGTGGTTTCCAGAAAGGAGTGCATAGAGATCAGTCTGACAGGCTATATTGTTAGCAAAGGGACTGCTACTCCTTACTACCAACAATCCCTCCCCGGGAAAGACCGTAGGTCCAAAAGTAGAATGACAATAATGATTGTTTGTTATTATAATTTATTAATAAAGTACATTTTGTAAGCAGTTACTGTGTATGAAAAAAAGGTTAGGTTCACTTATAGTAGCAAATATAAAAAGTACTGTTTACTAACTTGACGGGAGTGTTCCTCTTTACAGGTGTTTTTCTTCCTGATTTATCGTGTGTATGGTCTTCACCCTCCATACAGTTCTCCCGGTCACAACTAGACCGCAAAAAGGGGGTCTTCGAACGTGACCTTGACCGCAATTCTGTAACCGCTGGATTCTCCATGCCGACTTTATTTTTTTCAAATACACTATCACCTTTCCCACATTTTCGCGCGTTAGGTACACTATATTAAGGGCCCTGACCCATTTCAAATAACCGGTTCAAATGCAAATGAGTTCACCAAGTTTTTGTACACACCGATTATTGCACAAGGAAATCTATTTCTGTGGCTTCATGTGATGCCGCCAAAAAGATTGTACGTAGCCAATGTTTTTATGAATATAATTATAATGTAAAAACGATCCTAGGAACTGTTTATTAATTTATTAGCAAAAGTTTCAACACATAATAGGTTCTTTCTACGTTTAATTTTCAATCATAGAAATATTTAAGATTGAATTTCGTAACAGACAAACTGTTCGTCACACTAAACATAAACTGATGACGTCATTACCAAAAAGACGTTATCAGGGTTACCAGATTATCAAATTCATTTGCCTGTAACTTTTTTTTCTATTATTTATTTACAAAACACAATTCGCCTACTGTTTTTATTGATGGTGCTATTTTATTGAACGATTTAAGAACTAAAATTACTGATATTAAATAATTCAATTTTTTGCTACTAATAGCATATGGCAAGAAAAGAAATTTTATTTAGCGGTTAGGAAGTAATCATGTTCTGTAATAATAATTTTTAACAATTGCCCATTGCTATTATAGCAAAAGAAGGCGTTGAATTTGTAAATGAATTGTTACGATTTTTTTCCTAATATATTGTAGTTTCTCATTTCTAGCAAAATTAAATATATAAAAAATAAGTAAAGAAAACGTCTCCAAAATTGTATAAATTTTATACAATAAAATATATTCAAATTATATAATACATATAATAAACATATAATTATAACGTAGTATTAATATCTATACATGCTTCTGCTTACACTTAGTGTGTATTTTATACTAAGAACAACCAATTACATAGAAGGAATGATAAAATAAAAACTATAAATCATATGATTGCCTTCTTTCTTCTTAAATAATTAATAAAAAGAGGACGAAAAATACATCAGTTGCTATTTTTCTCAATTCAAAGCAGGCTAGTGTATAGAAAATGTTTGATATGTCAATTATTTGACAATGACAAATTTATCATTACTAAACTGTATATACGACACAGTTTATGCAAAAAGTATGCAAGTATATTGTTGAATTTGATAGGATTATACGGCTGCATAATATTTTCTATACACTAACCTGCTATAAATTGACAAAGTAGCAAGTGATAGTGTATCTTTCGTCTTCTATTACTAATTATATTTGCATAAGAAGAAAGGAGGCAATCATATGATTTATAATTTTTATCATTCCTTCTATGTAAATCCTTGTTCTTTGTGTATACGAGTGGCTTGATACAAGGCCGGTGCAAACTCTTATAATTTAGTGATTACTTGCTCTGCCCTACTGACCTGAAAAGACTGAAAATGGTCCCTAATTATAAGAGCAATTTTTACGAGAAAGAAATAGCCAGTATAAACATTTATTTATGAAGGGTCGATTTTACTGTTTTCAAAGACTAGTGCTTATTAATTGACTTAAAGAACTTCAAGATAAAAATGATATATAAAATAACATGCAAGAGTTATGTATATCAAGAAACAAAAAACTACAATCTTTTTATAAATATTATCATAAATACTATAGACTATATAATTTTATGAAGATTTTATAAAAATGCAATGATCTATTTATTAATGCAGTTACAATTGAAGGCAGGCTAAAAGGTTAGAACCTAGTGCCGTAAAAAGCATTTAAAAGAAAAACGGGCAACAACATAAATATAGAATCTATGATGGAAAAAAAAGCGCGGGAAACGTTTAAAAAAGCGGGAGTGTTTTTTGATCTTCTTTAAATTAATTTTATTTTTAATTATATAAGGATTAGTCTTATTTATATATTGTGTATTAGATTGTATATATAATTGTATATTTTGTAGTAATAGTGTTTGTTGCTGTAAATATTGGTAAGTAAATTACCTATATTAATTAGACATTATGGATCCACCTATAGACCCTGGGGGGTAGAGATGGGCAATCCACCTGGGTGGGTTTAAAGTCTGGTGGGTAAAAACCGGGTGTTTTGGGTTTATTGGGTTTAAACCCCATAAACACCCAAATTTTTGGGTGTTTATGATTTTGTACTTCATCATCGTCATCTCAGCCGCAAGACGTCCACTATACTGGACATAGACAATATTATTATGCAGCCTACAGAATAAAAAACTTTTAATTTGATTTTGAGTTTATTAAGAAAGAGATGAAAGTAAAATGTAAAACTACAGTCAATCACTGTCAGATTCAGAGTTATTACAAGCGATGAATTGTATAGGTTCGATAGGCTCTATTTCGTCTAAACTGTTATGTTCATTTACTTGCTCAATGAAAGCTTCTAAGGTATTTTCTTCATTAAACTGAATGTCCTCGCATTCAGCTTTATGTTTAAGATTCCAGTTATAACAAATGAATGAAATTTTTCAGTTCTTTCAGTTGTAAGTCGATTTCTTTTGTTATTATGTATGTAGCCTTGGATACTAAAGGAACGCTCAGTGGCTGCCGAAGTACAGGGAGCTGATAGAATACGAATCGCTACTTTGCTTAACTCAGTGGAACCACAAATACCTTTCCACCATATTAGGGGCTCAATGCTATCTAATGAGCTCCATACAAATCCTCTGGCCCAAAAGTTTTCTTTAGCTTTATAACACGCCAAATCTGCCATTACATTTGACAAACTTAAGTGTTGGCTTAAATTGTAGATAAACTCCATACCCTTAAGTTCTTCCTCTTGAGTAAGTTCGACTCCTAGAGTCCTGGGGTCTAGAATATATGCTGCAAAATGTATTGGCCTCATTGCCATATTGCATCTTGAAGATACTGATGTTAGAATCTGCTGTTTGCTTTCTTCGCTCAATGTCGAAATCTCATTTAATGCAAAACGTATCTTAGCTTGTACATCTCTAAATGTAATGTATGTGCGATGCAAACGATTCTGGTCGCTCTCTAAGTAAAATATGCTTTCAGTGACTGGTTCCAAAATACTTATACATTCCCCTGTCTTCGTCCAGAAATCATCACTTAGAATTAAATCTTTAATATCTCTTGAAATTACCACATCTTCTCTAACTGTTAATATTTGCAAAGCTATCTTATTTGCTTTCAAACTTTTTAACGAAGTAACATGACTTCCCCATCTTGTAGCACAAGGCAATTTTAGTGTTTGTGTAGAATCTTCACCCTGCCTTGATTTTATCAACAAGGAACTTAATCGTTGACTCCTTTTAACAGTTTTTATTATATTTATGGCTTGCATAATAAACACAGTTACTTCTTGTATCTTTACAATATCTTGGCACAACAAGTTAAGGATATGTGCACAGCAACCGAGAGGAACAACATGTGGATATTTGAGTTTTGTTAATTCGAATGCCTTTTGTATATTTCTAGCGTTATCGCCAATAAGTACAAGAAACTTATTTGCTCCATACACTTTCATTACTTTTTCAACTTCTTGGCTAAGGTATTCACTAGTGTGAGGATTACTTTCTGTATTCAAACTTTTAACGTATGCAGGTTGAGGTTTTGATATAAGAAAGTTTATTATTCCTTCATTTCTTAAATTAGACCAGCCATCGCACTGAAGGTGTAAGTAACTACAAGCATTTAGTTCCTCATTTAACTCAAAACGCATTTCTCTATATATTTTATCTAAGTATTTTGTCGCTAAAGCTTTACGTGAAGGTATTTTAAATTTTGGTTGCAATTTTTCGAAAAATTGTATCCATAAAGGATGTTGCACCATCGATAATGGCGTCCCTGTTACAAATATAGCTCTCGCTAATTCTGTTTTTATATGATCATCGGTGTCTTGAAACTCAGCATTTATTGTAGTGTTAGCAGACGACGAGGGGCTTATAAAAGAATCATTTGTCTCTATCTCTGACAGTCCAGACATTTTGGTTTTGGACGAGCTATCTTTTATAAGTTTCATAGAGTCTTTTAATGTTTCTGGAGATTTTGGACAAGTGATAAGATGTTGAAGCATTTTGGCAGCACTACTGAATTTGTAGACCTTATTACAAAGCTTGCAAGAAACAGACTTGTTTGGTAAAGTACGGTAGTGCTCCCATATGCGTAAATCTTTAGGTCTCCCCATTGAACCTAAAAAAATGAACGATGATTAGTTGGTCTGACGAAAATTCAACAATAGAGTGCCTATTTTTTTACAATGATTATTTCTTGTTATTTACAATAAATTTATTAAAAAAATAATAAAATAAATACAAAAAACCTTTGTAAAATTACATCTCCTCGGAGGATTAAACGCAGACGCTAGTTTATTATCGTATTGTTCTGTATTTTTCTCAGCAACTTCTTTAATTCGATTAGGTACTTACGCATATTATGTTAAAAATAAATATCTAGTACACATCTTAGGCTATCCACCATTATTATCCAATGACGACTCTCAGCTAACTATGCACTATCATCCAAAATAAACGTGTATGGAAAATTTTATCCCAGTCGGTTGAGGATTGAGGATAATTGCATCAACATACGAACATACCTACATACTTTTATTTACATAACGCAAGCTAAATAAAAGCTTGTAATAATACATCTAATTTTAAGTTAAAATTGTTAAGTGATCATGATATAATTGTATCATTCAAAAATCCACTTACCTTTAATTATTTCTTGTTAAGTATAAATATTATTTCAAATCTGCTCCCTTAATATGCACTTTTTTACTGCTTTTCCTACCTAACACGTTACCAGGAAGTCACGTTACCAGAGTCAGAGTAATAGTGAACACGTTTGACAGTGATTGTCGTCGCCTCATATTCAGCGTCGACGAATAGGGGAATCCCCAGTCATAATGTATTGCATGCGTGGCGGTCTTACTTCAAATCCATAAACAAAGAGATAATTACAGAACTCGATACTAGATGGCGCTGTTTTTGTTTGAAGAAAGTTTGCGGGCTAAAATACATAGAATTTCATCAATGACTTCCACAAAGAACAACATTTCTGTTTTTTCTAAGTCCGTATCTCTTCCGTATATTTCATAAGATATAAGCTTGGGCTACATTGTTATGCAACGTGATTTTGTCGCTGTCTTGCTAGCAGGGTTGACAGATATACGATTTAAATCGTACTCATACTATTATTTGTCTATTTTTTAATGTACGATCGTAAAGATTATGATCGTAATTCGCACAAAAACATACGACTTTTTGGTTACCTGGCAACATTTTTATTATGAAACGAACATGCTCACATCATCAGTCACATGCAAAAATTTATTGGGGATTTCCCCTTCACATCTGGCAGTCCTGCTTGCTAGAATATAGGTAAGTCAGCCACAGTTACTGACGATCGATATTTAAA